TTCATTTGATTTTACATAATTTGTAAATAAATAAATAAATAAATAAATTTATTTATTTGCTTATTGAATGATATTGATTTTAGTTTTCATATATATATATCATAAATCTATTTTGTTGTTCATATTTTATATCATAATTTATCAATGTCAAGATATTATTCTAATGTATTTATTATCAAAAAGATTTTATTTTGAACAATAATGAAGAAATTCTATACAGTCGAAAATTTATCTATGAAAATTTTTTTTGATTATTGAATTAATCGATTTGTTAATAGGAGAAGATGTTGAATAGTTTGTAGTAGATTTTATGAATAAAAGTTTAAAAATTAATTATATTGAATATGAAATAATAATTTAAAATTTAACAATGTTGAAGATTAAACAAGATATATATATATATGATCAACATAATGTCTACGTGTGTGTGCATTCATATGAATATAATTTATAATGTATTTTGATTATTAGACGAGATGAGACAAGACGAGATATTCTTTTTAGTTTTATATTGAATATTTGACTTGTTTGTATGCTCTTGTTCTAAATCAAAATATGATAAGCAATAGTAATAACAAGAACAAATTAGGATATGATAAAATTACAAAGAAAGAAAAAAAAAAAAACAAAAAAATGTTTATGATTATTATCTTGTAATATATATATGTTATTTGATACATATATATATATATACATGTCTTTTATAAATTTTTTGATATTGTTTATCATACATATGTATATATGTTTGTTTTCTTAAGAAATGTGATGATGAACAAGAAAAGATTTGATCAAGTATTAAATATGAAGAAATTTATTTGAATGTTAAATTGTATTAAAACAAAACATGAATATAAATTCTTAGAATGTGTTTTGGTTTTCTTGAATATAGAAGTATGTGTTAGTGATGATTGTAGGTTGTTGTTTTAGTTCGTTTTTACTTACTCTTTAATTGATATTATTCAAGTGAAAATAAATAATAATAAGAAATAAAATATCAAATAATTTCAAAAGCAAAAAAATAATTTCTTTTGCTGGTATATCCTACATATATATATATTTGTCTATATGATGATATAAGTTTATCATTTTATATTTCTTTTTTTTCTAACATAAAAATATACTGAAAATGAAATGAAATGAAATCGAATGTGAAATGCAAATATCGTTTATAGAACTGAAGTCTATCGAATCAGCATTTGTTTTGTTGATGATAATAATAAGTGTTTATAAAATGAAAAGAAAAAAATCAAAACATCCAGATATGATTTGTTATCAATCACTTTATATATATATATGATAGTATGATTTATATGTATGCAACATGTATGTTGAACTAAGACAATAATAATATTAGATGTAAAACAAATGAAAGAAGAAAAAAAGACAAATATTTGTAAATAGTCTGTTATTTTTTGAATATATATATATAATAACGAAACAAGTATCATAAAGAAGATATATAAGAAGAAAAAAAAACTTGTGTTAAATTTTTTGTTTTTGCTTATGCAATAAATATAAAAAGTTATAGAAAAGAATATAATATAAGAAGATGAAAGAAAAAACGATGATAAATGCAAATGTCGTATAGGACTGAAGCCTATCGAATCAGCATAACATCGAGCAGAAACTCAGCGGATCGCAATGTGGCGGTTGCTCTCACGTGTACGTTACTCTGTTACTGAAGAAAGTCGTTTACAATCGATTCTAGCCATTAGTGTTGTTTCGACTAAAAATGCATCGTTGCAATCACAATCTCATTTCGATTATGACAAAGCAACAACACGGTAGCTTCATTCATATGCCCACTTTATCAACAGTTTGGACATATATAAATGTGCTGACGACAACCAATGTGCCAAAAAATCATTGAGTCTAGATCGGATTCCAACTTAGAGGCGTTCAGTTGTAAGCCGTCGGATGGTAGCTTCGCATCATTGTCCTTTCGAACAAATACGTAAACCAAATGTCCGAACGTACGGTTCCTCTCGTACTAAGTACGATTCCTATATCAATGACAAAATCCAATGTAGGGTAAAACTAACCTGTCTCACGACGGTCTAAACCCAGCTCACGTTCCCTATTGGTGGGTGAACAATCCAACACTTTGCGAAGTCTGCTTCGCAATGATAGGAAGAGCCGACATCGAAGGATCAAAAAGCGACGTCGCTATGAACGCTTGGCCGCCACAAGCCAGTTATCCCTGTGGTAACTTTTCTGTCACCTCTTGCAAAAAACTCGTTAAATCAAAAGGATCGATAGGCCCGGATTTCTCCGTCTGTATTCGTACTGAAAATCTAAATCAAGCTGACTTATGCCCTTTTACTCAATGTGTGGTTTCTGTCCGCACTGAGTCAACTTTTGGACACCTACGTTAACATTTGATAGATGTACCGCCCCAGCCAAACTCCCCACCTGTCTCTTTCCTTGAAGCAGATCACGCCGATACAAGTATCGACGTTTGTCACTCAAACACTGGATATAAAATCCAATCTCTGTATAACCAAGTAAGTAAAGAAACAATGAAAATAATGGTGTTTCATTGACGTGTTGCCACTCCCATCTACGCTACATTTTCCAAGTCTCTTTACGAAGACAGATTAGAGTCAAGCTCAACAGGGTCTTCTTTCCCCGCATTGAAGTCCAAGCCCGTTCCCTTGGCTGTGGTTTCGCTAGATAGTAGACAGGGACAGTGGGAATCTCGTTAATCCATTCATGCGCGTCACCTTCATTGGCACCTACCTGTCGCCAGGATAGATTTTAGACGACCACTGGGTGTTAATCAGTGGAATGCTGCCCGCTACTAACGTCCATCTACAATGCACCAAGGTGTTATTAGGCACAAGGGTCTTAATGCGGTTGATTTTATAATTTTTTTTTCTCCTTTCTTGTGTGTCCGCTATGGCAAGCATAGAGGTTCATCGAACAGACTTTTCATATCACCTGTACTATTGGCTTGTCTGCGCCAGATGATTCTTGATGATTCGACACGTTCCGAATGCAGCGCTGCGTTGCATTCTCTCGATACATTGCTCTGTCGCTTCCCTGCTGAAGCCGAGCTTGACCTGTATTTCTTCTTTTAAGTTAGAAAGCACTTCGCCAGTTGCACCAATGACTATTGCTAGAAAAGTTGTCTTCCAACCATTGGTTTGTAATTCACGTAGTAAATTATCACCCCTCTGGTATGGTAGGTTGAGCTCCTCTTCGCAATTGCCGTTGACACAGTAACGATTTGTTTTAATATCCATTTGTTTCTCAATACCGGTAAACCACGATACTGCAACTTCTATGATGACAGCTGTTTTCCTGATTTTATCGAAGGCAATTATATCAGGCTTATTATGGCGAATGATCGTTTTGGTCTGCACCGGTTGGTTCCAATACAGCTTAATACTATCATTTTCGAGAACCGGATCCGCTTTCTGCGAGTAGTGACGTGAAGCGAGGCCGAACTTTTGACATAGTTTAAAATGAATGTTCCTAGCTACGGAATCGTGCCGGTCTACATATAGGTTTGGCAGCCACTTCGAACAACTCGCTACGACGTGTTCGGTTGTCTCCATGGCGTTCCCACATGCTCTACAACTCGTATTATTTGAAGTTTTTGTATGAGAAGGATGAGCTTTTGTAAGAAGACATCCCTCTTGTGCTGCTAAGACATTCCTTACTGCTATTGACGACAACTTCCCTTGTTGGAGCCAAGCAAAAGAAGTTATCAAGTCAATGCTGCTTGTCGAACGTAGAACACGTCCCGCTAGCTGCAGTTTTTCCCATGTATTGTACCGTCGGGTGTTATTGTTAGCACGCATTAGCTTGACCACGTGTCCTGCCAATGTTTTTGCATCTACGAACGTAGTTCCATCCAGAGTGACAGTTGAATGATCTATTTCTTTTTCTTTTCATTTTCATATTATATATGAAGTTTTTCTGGAGACAAGACTTTATTCAGTTTAAAAGCTGACAATACAAGCAAAAACAAAATAGAGAAAGAAACAACAAAACGTATTGTCATAGAAAGCTGGAAGGATAAGAAGGAGACACATGATATCAGTCTTTTGTCTCAGAGATTGATTTGGTAATTTGATTGTGTTGTGGATGATGTGCTGGTAGTGTGGTATAAGATGTTGTTGTGGGTACCTTCGAGATGGATCGTCATTGTATTGTATTTGTTTCATATTGTGTATGAAGATACAGGGAAGGTAAAAGAAATTGCTGAATACAAGAAAACAAACAAGCATATACATTGATTTAGTTTCATATTATATGAAGATGAAGGAAAGGAAGAAAGGAAATAGCTGAATGATATAAGATGAATAAGCAAGAATATTGACGCGTTTCTTATTATATATGAAACCATCTCATAGTATGCGAATCCGATATAATAATTTTTGTACAGATTCGATTAAGTCAACAGCATTCTTGTTTCTCGAGGATAATGTTATATTATTGGGTAAGTGGTGTGTTTTTTAAATTTTGTTAAGTATATCTTGAAGATGTATCTTTAGTGTCATGTCATTATTTGATATTGCTGTTTGAATAGATTGTTGAATTAATGTAATGGCATAGTCCTTAATTTTGGGGATATTGGCTATTCGATGTATATACTCCACAGATGTATATGTTGGTACGCCAAGTGCAGCACGAATTGCTTTATTTTGAATGATTTGTAGCCGATCCCATACTTTTTCTTTTGCCGTAAGAAGAACTGGATAACCATATATGATGATTGTCCTTGCAATTGATTTAAATATATTTATCATCGTCTTCGTGTCTGTTTCGTAGACTGCTTTTGATAAATAACGTAGAAGACTAATACGAGCAGCTAATTTTGATTCAATGTGATGGAGATGACTTCTCCAATTTAACTGTTTGTCTATGATGACACCCAAGTATCTTGTTGAATCCACTGGTTTAATAATGGTATCTTCTACTTTAACTTCTACTGGATTTTTATATTTCTTTCTTGGATGCACTCTAAAGTGTGTTAATTATGTTTTAGTTGATTATAATTTCAATTTCCATGAATTGCACCAACTTTGAAATTCATCTGTAGATTGTCGAAGTTTTAATGTAAGATTTGAAATTGTATTTGATGATGTCCATAGAGCAGTATTAAAAGCAAATAGACCATGTTCTGTATGAGTCGGCATTTCATTCATTGAATCTGCTATATATACAATATATAATATTGGAGATAGAGAAGATACTTGTGGAGTACCGCCGTTTAAGTTGAATGAACGAGATAATATATTTTCGACTTCAATTGCAGCAGTCCTATCTTGTAGAAATGACATCAAGTATCTGAATAAGTATTGTGGAAGACGTAAATTATTTAATTTGTATATTAAACCATCGTGCCAGATCGAGTCGAATGCCGCTTTTATATCGAATAAGATGACAGCTCCATGACATCTTCGATCAGTGAGATGCAGATGTTCTTGTATATATCTTTCTAATCTGACGATGTTGTATATTGTACTTTTCTTTGGACGAAAGCCAGTTTGATGTTGTGGTAAAATTTTTTGTTGTTCAAGTTCTAGTATTACTCGTTGTTTGATGATTTTCTTCAATAGTTTACCCATACAATTGAGGAGACTAATTGGACGATAACTCGATGAATGTTGTTTGTCTTTTTTAGGTTTTAATAGGAGAATAATATGCCCCTTTTCCCACATATTCGGAATATAGTCCACATTTAATATTGAATTAAACAGGCTAGTTAGATGTTGAATAGGTAATTCTGTATTATTCTTCAAACACCTATTGTGAATGTTGTTAGGACCAGTGGAGCTATTTCGAAGTTGTTTGATGTTCCAATGAACTTCTTTTGTTGTAATTTTCTTCCACTTGTTAATGTTTGATGTGGTGTTAATTCTATTCTTGATGTTGTTTGTTTGGCGTGCTATATGATCATGAAATGGCAATGTGCCAGATGGTTTGAAGCAGGCTGCATTTTGAAAATATACAGAAAATAAATCTGCTTTCTCTTTATCTGATGTTGCTGTCATGATTGTTGTATTTCATGATTGGTGAATGTGTTTGTTGGATCCTTTTGTTATGAAATTTTCGAATCGTAAGCCAAACTGAATCTGAATACATTTTCTTTTGACATAATGACATCATTAACTTGTTGAAGTAATTTTTTCTATCATTTCTAAATGAATTTGATAAAAGCACTTTGAAGTTATAATATTGTTGTTTTTCAATAATATCTCCAGTCTTTTTCCATCTTCGATAAGCTTGATGTTTTAATTTAATCAAGCATTTTGTTGCTTCGCTTAGTTTATAACTCGTATTCATTTGATTAGATGTTGGAACGGCTTCTTGTGTCACTGTATTAATGCAGATGGTAAAAAACGATGTATATTCTTCTATATCTAATGATGATATTAAAAGACGAGTACTATTCCATAACATTAGCTGTTCATTTAATTTGTTTCTAAATTTCGCCCAGTTTGCTGCTTTGAAATTAAGAGATGTTCTTGGTCATGATGGTTTTGGTTCAGCTCCAATTGAAATATCGAAGGTTAGTAGTTTATGTCCACTTAATGTACCAAGTGTTGGATGAGATTCAACATTAGGTATTAACCCTAGAAGCCCCAAGTCGGTCATTTTTGACCCACAAAAAAACCTGAAAATGCAACGGAGATATTTTATCGTTTTTTTTAATTTTTGAAAACGTCTAGGATTTTCACAATTTATATGATAATGTCGAGTATAAAAAGGAACTAACTGCTCTTCTTTTTGTTCATTACAGACCATTGATATAATCATATATCTTTGACATGTAGCAAATGTACAACAAGAACAAAAGGAGAATTCAGTTCTATACCAGGACTTCAATGAATCATCTTCTTTCTTAATTGGATAATCTCAATCCATAGATAAAACGCTTATCTAGAATGGATTGGATCTACCCAATTAGAATACAAGATGATTCATGGAAGTTCAGATATAGAATTGAATTTCATTTTTTTTATTATATATTTGCTGCTTGAGAAGAACGTGATATCGTATAAAGACTTTTATTGATAAAAAAAACAGACAGTCTCCTTCAAGTTCTATTTCGTATATCAATATCTCGTTGTAAGATAATATTACTTCGCCTAGTGCTCCTTTATTTATTTTCTACTTATAGATTACAACTGTTCCTCTCGTGCAATCTGAATAAGTTCGTTCGCAAAATACAATTATGGAAGATAGCTGGTTTGAAGATGAAAGTGAAGATGATGAACTTAGTGATAAAGAAAGCAGTTCAGAAATAGAACATGATGATAGTGGAACATCAGAACATGAAGATGAAATTGATCTAGATGATGTTACATCGAAGAAAGGTTATACACAAAGTACTTTCTACAGTTCAAGTTCTGGAATGCCCTGGTCCTCGATTTCATCTTATTCAACGAAAACTTACTCTACTGGTACTGCAACTATGAAAGCTGGACCAACAGAGCTCACTCAAGATGTAATATCTGTTGCTGATGCATTTCAATGTTTTATATCGGATAATATTTTACAGAAGATTTTGATTTATTCAAATACTGAACGAACTCGAAAAAACACGGATGATGACATCGATGATATTACTATGATTGAATTGAAGGCTTGTATTGGTCTTTTGTTACTTGCCGGTTTATTAGGACAATCAAAGAAGAGTATTAAATCATTATGGAACAGAAGTCCTTTAGAATCTCCAATTTTCAGAGCTGCAATGTCTAGAAATCGATTTCAACAAATTATTTCTTGTATCAGATTCGATGATAAGACAACCAGAGAAGAAAGAAGAAAAACCGATAAGTTTGCATCACTCCGTGAAATTTGGACAGATTTTCAAAATAATATAAGAACATGTTATGCACCAGGATCTTTTATTACTATCGACGAACAACTTTTAGGCTTTCGCGGAAAATGTCCTTTTCGTCAATTTATCCCGAAAAAACCTGATAAATATGGTTTGAAATTTTGGTTATGTGTTGATTCAAATTCGTTTTACGTTTTCAATGCATTTCCTTATATTGGATGACAACCCGATCAAAAACGACAGAAACAAGTCGGTTTCAATGTAGTTTTAGACTTGCTAAAACCATTATACGACTCGAACAGAACTGTCACATTTGACAACTTTTTCACAAGTGTTCCACTGGCTAAAGAACTTCAAGCGAAAAAAATTAATGTTATAGGAACATTACGTAAAAACAAACCTGAAATTCTGATTGAGTTTCAGTCAGATAAAAGCCGCGAAGTTGGTTCTTCGCTTTTTGCTTTCCACGATTATTTGACATTAGTTTCATTTGTTCCCAAACAAAATCAAGCCGTCTTACTGTTATCCTCGAAGCATCATGATAGTATCGTCGACAAGGAAACCGGAAAACCGAATATTATTGTGGATTACAATAAAACAAAAGGAGCGGTTGATACTGTTGATCAAATGTGTCATAAATATACCGTAAAAAGAGCTACAAGACGATGGCCACTTTGCATATTTTATGGAATGATCGATATTGCTGGCATCAACGCATTGATTATATGGAAAGAAAAATATCCCGACTGGAATCAGAATAAAGGATATAAACGTCGTTTATTCCTTGAAGAACTTGGAATGAGTTTAGTCTCACCACTTCTGGATTATCGTTCAAAAACTTCGACAAATTTACACAAAGATATTCGAAATGCGTTAGCCTTGTTTGGTTATCCTGTGATAGAGCAAGAATTACAAGAAGCAAATAAAAATTCTACACAATCCAAACGAAAACGATGCACATTTTGCCATTTTTCTAAAGATAAGAAAACGTCTAATCAATGCTGTAAATGTTCAGAGTTTGTTTGTAACGAGCATTCTGTAAAACGTATCTTTTGTATTACTTGTTCGAAATAAAAAGAAATAGTCGCTCTGATAGTTTTTTTTATTCAAACTGCGTATGTCAATATCATATTTACATCAAAACACTGATGCAACAAGAAAACAATCACGATAGAAAACTATATACTACTAGTAAATCGCGGGAAAAGGCTTGGGGTTCCTAGGATTTAATGAAAGAAGTTGTTGACTGATTAATATTCAATCTAACTTTTCTTCATAATCATTCTTTTCAAATGTTATACTATCATCGTCGACACATTCAATAAAACCTTTCTTAATTAAATCTTGCAGTTGTCTTCCTTGATCCCATTTGATATAATGTTGCGCTTAAATCACCTACAATAACACAGTTATTGTTGATGTTCTAAAGTTCGTGGAAGATACTGAGATCGATTTTTGCTGTTGGTGACATGTAAATGAAGGATATCATATTGATTTGAATGTTTGCGTTTCAATCTGAACTGCTATCACTTCCTTTGTAGGTGCTGTTTTGTTCAGCATTTCTCGACATTTAATATGTTGTTTTACTGCTAATAATATTCCATCACCAAGTTTTCCTTCTTGATCATTTCTGAAAATGTTATAATTCATTAAAGAGAGCGAACGTTCACTTTTTAGATTAGTTTTATTTACAGAGATGATGTCTTATTTGGAGAATTTGACTAGGAGTTCATCTTTGTGTTTTATAATAGAGTTGATGTTAACATGACATATACTAATCATCATTGTTGCTTGTCTTAAGGTCTTTATTATCATTTGTCGAAGTATCTAAAGAGCTGTTAGGAGAACGAACTCTCTTGGTTGATTCTGTTCCCTCTTTCTTTTTTCGTGGTTGTTTTGATATGGCTTTATTTGAAGTTGTTGTTAGTTTTGCTGAAGTATCCTTCGATGAAGTGGCTGATTGGGCTGTTCGTGCATTTTGTTTTTGTTTGTTCTTGATGTGCTTAACTCAAGGGGAAAAAAACGGAATCCGGGAATCCTGGAATCCGGTGGAATATTACGGAATCCCACGGAATCATGGAATCCGATGGAATCCAATGGAATCATGGAATCCAATGGAATCCGATGGAATCCAATGGAATCCGATGAAATCCCCGGAATCATGGAATCCAATGGAATCCAATGGAATCCAATGGAATCCGATGGAATCCAATAGAATCTCCGGAATCATGGAATCCAATGGAATCCAATAGAATCCAAT